AAGCAAAAACTAGTACAAAAGGCAAGTATGAGCATCTAACAAATGTAAAGCTGGGAAATATTTTCAGAAGCTTTATTAGCTTTGAATTTATTGAACGCCAAAGCGTTCGGCCTAAATGACACACAGTTTAAAAAAACTGTCTTAAGAAATGTATAAAAAAATATATTCATATTATGTAAGCGGAAGGGTGGGATTGGGAAGGAAAGCGGGCGGAAGGGCGAGGGGGAAAGTTTGTTGGGTAGAAGTGGGGTGGGGGCGAAATGCATTGGCAACAAGGGAGGCCGAAGGCGGGGCGAAAGAAAGAGCGGAGGAGGGGGGGGGTGGAAGAGTGGGGGTGAAAGGGCGGGGTGGAGGGCTGGTGGAAGGGCGGGGTGGAAAGGGCGGGGTGGAAGGCGGGGTGGAAAGGGGGTGGAAAGCGGGGGGGAAGGGCGGGGGTGGAGAGGCGGGACGAATGCGGGGGCGGAGAGGGAACGGTGGGAGGGGGGTGGGAAGAAAGGCGGGGGGGAGGATGGAGGAAGAATGGGGGGCCGGCGGAAGACTCGGGCGGGCCAGGTGGCGGGCGGAAAGACGGGCGGAAAGTGTTGTGTGGTGAAGAGGCGGCAGACGGACGGGAGGTGGAAGGAGCGGGCAGGAAGGCGTCAGAGCGGAAGGGCAGGTGGGAAAGGCGGATGGAAGAATGGCGAGGGGACGAACGGTAGAATTACTACGCAATTGTAAGCCGAGAAAAAAATATATTGCTGCAACATTTTGACTCCCAAGCATTGCGGGAGGGGAGTTTTCATTAATCCAGGTTTTCGTATCATGGAATCATAAAACGAGAAATCAGACTACACGGTGTGTTCAACGAAGAAATAGTAAAAAACGACAAAATTATTAAATAACTATTATCGCAAGCTCTATCCCTTTTTTCACATCAGTGACCCTCCCAAAACGAGTTTTTTGACCGAAAAATGGCCACATTCTTCTGCTGCATATTTTCTCTTGTACTATATTAGAATGTATTATAGATAAAGAAAACTAGAAGTCTACAAGAGCACATTTTCTCGAATTATTTATGAAGGCCATACAATATTAAAATATAAAATGTTTCCATCTAGGATATTTTTTTCCACAAGTAGGATTTCAAACAGGGTTGTAGAGGTGCACTCCATTCGCAATATTCCTACAACAAACCAGCTCATAGCTAAACTCAACCTTCCTTTGTACTTTGTAAACAAAGTTGGCAATTGCATTCGCAATTTTCAAAAATTCAGATGTTTCATAAAAATTTCAAGATTTGTTTTAAAGAACAAATTCCATAAGAAAGAATTTCTATCATATAATTTCGTAGTTTTACTTTTCGAAAGTAAAGAAATTCCCCAAAAATGGAACGCTGAGCAATTATTGAAGGACTTCTGCTTCAACTCACGAAAAGCCGATTTTGACATGTTTCTTCTTATGTAAGTCGCATCATGAAAGGCAAAAAATATATGCTCAAAGTTCAAGATTTCCTCTTTTTTTATTAAAAAATTTTAATTTTGTGAAATTTTCGAAAATATTGCTCTTTAGAAGCACATTTGTAAAGGAAAATATCACTATCTACATATTTATAGCTGTACGAAGACGCGAAAAAATGTTAACTTTGGAATATAGAAAAAAATCGTAATGTCGAAAACGAGCCGCGCCATTCTTTCAATGTCGTCAGAACAAAAAGTTTAATGAAAAATTGGCCATTATTTAGAACATTTTTAAAATTTGAGGCTCACTATAAAATACCCTTCGAAATAAAAATATCAGGTTTCGAGATCACCCAGATCTATTGGGAGTATCAATTGAAAAAATATACCTAACGGTTTAGACCGCACTTGACCATGGAAGGACTACGGTAGGTTAGTCGTTTTGTGCTCAAACAATGCAAGCGGTATGAAGGACATACAAAAGGGTTTCTGACCACAAAACGTGTTGGAAAGCAGTAATTCGCTAAACATGGAAGAAAGATTTGTACTTTTTTGATACCAGGCCCACAATGCGATATTTTCTGTCGAAAAAATCTCCAATTTTCGGCGCAGCATTACATTACTTTTACTAAAGTACTTAGCAAGTCGAGGAAAGTAAAGGGTAAGAGATGAAAAACACGGGTGGAGAAAAAAACTGAAAAAAGGGATGAAAATAAACACCTAAGACATGGTCAAGAAGGAGATGCAGAGGACAGAGAGAAACGAAGAATGAAAGATATGGAAGCGAAGACACAAGAAATATGAAATGCACCAATAAGAAGAGGCGAGAGAAAGATGGAGAGATGATGCTGTTCTGTGGGCTGAGAGAAAAGAGAAAGATAAGCAGAAATAGAGGAGAAAATGGGAAAAGAGAAAAGGATGTAGAAGAGAAGTGCGCCACAGAGATAAGAGAGAGAGGGACGAAAATGGGCCAAAAACGGGGAATTCTGGCGGAGAGCAGAAGACGATGACAAAAATGTGACAAAATCAAATAGGGGCAGAAGTGCCGCCAGAGTGATGAAAAAAAAATGCTGGCCGCAAAATCAGAGGTACGAGCGGAAGAAGAAGCGAAATAGACGATTGAGATAGGGAAGAGATAGTCCAGAAAATTGCGCCAAAGAAGTAAGAGATAGAGATGATGCATTACAACATGACGTATGATGTGCAACGAGGAAGAGGGAAAGTAGAGACTGCGGCAGAGAAGAGGAAAAAAGAAGAGGTGAGACAAACGAAAGATAAGAAGCAAGGGAGTGAAAGCGGAGGAGTAAGAGAGGGAAAGAAACCTGGAAGAGCGATGGCAATTGGAAAGGTTATTGAATTTATTTTCATTATTTAACAATAAAGTTGTATTGGACATATGGGGAAGTTGTAGATCAGGCAGGAAGAAAAGAATGAGAGAGAGAATGAAATAGAGAGAGAGAGAGAGAGAGAATGAAATAGGAGAGAGAGAAGAAGAGAGAGAATGAAATAGAGAGACGATGAGAGACGAGAGAATGAAATAGAGAGAGAGAGGAGGGAGAATCGATAAATATGAGGAGATTGCCCGCAACTGAGAATGAAGCCAACCTAAAGAGAGAGCCGAAGCGAGAATGAAATACGATCAATTGGCCCGAAGAGAGAGCCGCGACGACAAATGACAACATCTTAGGTTCCCGGCGACGACCCGAGACGATTGTCAATCCTAGTCACGCCCCGCCGCAGCAACGCGACGTTACGAGCCCGCATAGCCAACCGTGAACATTTACCCGCCCCCGTTCTATGAGCCTCCCATCCTCCCGGCGACCCCCGCCTTTCCGACCCCCGCGAGAGACCTTGCAGACACCCGACCGCCTCACCATACCCCCGCACAAATCCTTCACAGCCCGACCGCCTTGAGGAGCAAGCCCATTCCGCCAGCGATTATGATCCACCACGCGCCCTGTCCACACCAGACCGGACAGAGAACCGTTCCACCCCCCGCCCTAATGCCATGCCCAAGCCACTTACCATACCACCGCCGACGGTCCAACGCCCACTCTGTCCAGCGACCCGCCCTACCACTCACACGCATCTCGCCCCGCCCCCCTTCCGCCCTCACCCTTTATGCCGAGAAGATTCGAGAGAGAATTTGAATTTCAATCAGCCCGCAGCAACGCACCCCAGCCAACAGTCTACCCCGACAAACTTCCCCCGAGACATCCCGCCCTTCAATTGCCCCGCAGAGGACTGCCTTTCCTTCCCAACTGCGCACCCGTATCCACCACTTAAAATAGAATATGAAATAATAATTTTTATATCCTAAGTTATCATTAAAGGAGACAGTAGTGTGTAACTGAAAAATAAGAGAGAGAGATGAAATAGAGAGAGAGGAGAATTAATAAGAGAGAGAGATGAGAAAGAGAGCAGAGAGAGAATGAAATAGAGAGAAGAGAGAATGGATAGTGATTACCATGATTAGAGAGATAGCGGACCCCTATTGGTTAGGCGTTCATAATTCCAGATTAGAGAGACCAGGAGAGAATAGGAAAGCTAAATAAAGGCCTGTCTAGAGAAAAAAGATATTTCACACCATGCTTTACCATATTGCTATAGAGAATGCATCGAGTACATTTGCTTAGTGTATGAAACAAGAGAAGAACTTAGATAACTAGTTGAGTCTTGGAGAGGTTTTATGAGAGAGAGTCCACATAAGGAATGTAGTTATGTGAGGTAGGATAATTATTAAGATTGGAAGAAAAATGAGAGAATAGATTAGGAAAAGAAATTAATTGATGAGAATGAAATAGAAGAGAAAAGAATTAAAAGATGAGAAGAGAGAATGAAATGTTTATCTCGTTAGTATTTGAAGGAGTTGACAGCGAGAATCCTGAAATATAATAAATGCTTAGCATAGAGCGGTAGAGACGGTGACCATAATATGAACTTGGCAAAATAGCTAGCATCGACAGGCGATAGCAGCGTTCATTGAGGAGCTGGCAGGAGGACAACTCGCACTCAGAAGGAATCCTGGCGCATA